TGCATAAGACCGAAGGAACATTTTCTCCTTTAGTCCATAGGAACCACCCATTTCAACCAATAAGATCGCTCATTACTCCTTACGTCTCCTTTGTATACATACAGTTCTGTCCATCAATTTTAAAATCAGCCCACTGCAGGCCGATTATTAGGTAAAATTGATAGACAAAGCTATAGCTACATAAGACCAACGGAACATTTCCTCCTTTAGTCCGTAGGAACCACACATTTCAACCAATAAGATCGCTCAATACTCCCTATGTCTTCTTTGTATACAATTCTGTCTATCAATTTCAAAAATCAGCCCGCGCTGGCACTTTCACCGTAGCTGTATGAAAATGCTTAAATTCGTAGCTTGTCTAGTGGTCCATTCTAAGCCTGCGGGCTGATCTTTGAAATTGATGGTCAAAGCGATGGACAAATAGAAGACACAGGGAGTCTGAAGCGATCCAATTAGTTTAAATAGGTGGTTCTCATAAACTTTAAGAAGGTAATTGATGGACTGACTAAAGGAAACAATACTCTAGTGGGTTGCCGTTTGTCAGTCTATTACCTACCTTCTTTGCCCATTGCAACCACCCGCTACCACCAATAGCTTTAGTTCCCTTCTATCTCCTTTGTCTGTAGCCTTGTCCATCAATGGACCACTAGACAAGGTACGAATTTAAGCAATCTGATACATGTTTATGAACCAAAATTTCACGTAAAACACGATTCACACAACGAAAATTATTGAAACCATCTCTTAACGAAGATGTAAAAACGTTTTTATTACACATCGGTAACGAGTAATTTGAACTGCCCGCTCACAAGAAACTCAGAGCTCTACGTGAGTCAAATCGCGCACTACAACGGTTTCAGCAAGCCTCTCAATCAAGCAATGTTCATTTCCCACCATGTGTTGTTCACATTATAAGCAATTTGCTGCAGCTGAGCTAAAGCGTCAAGATCGAGGTTGCCAGATTTTTATATCGCAGAGATTGTCATGATAACGTTTAGCGCGCGATGTGAATCACGTTGAGCATTGAGTTTTCCTGAGCGGATGGTTTGAATTCACGGATTAAGAATCATTAAATATCTTCGTGAGGTATTGATTTCGGTGATATTCGTTGTGCGCATCGTGTTTTACAGAGAGACAAGAGACCCTCCTCTGACCTCCTAGCGACAGGTGGAAGATTTTACTTTCGGGTTTTCAACAGTTCCTTATGGACAATTATTAGGGAGCATCAGTCATCACCCTAATTTCGGGTGTCGACCTACCTACATGGTCGATGATGAGCTTCGGGTGACGTTATGAGCCAAACAAGTTTCACAAACTTCGGCCATTTTCGACTTGTTTGCAAAACGAAACTACCAACACGTTGTTAAACATCAACCATGTAGATAAGTCAACAGTAGAATGCTGAAGTCCCGAAAGTAAAAGCTTCCACAATCTCCGAGATACGAGTGTAGGGTCTCATCTTGGCTCTGGTTTTACGTGTAATTCTGGATAAGAAACATGTAACAGAATGCTGAAATTCGTACCTTGTCTAGTGGTCCATTTCAAAATTCAATCCGCAGGGGGTAAGAAACTGCGCTCGACGTGGGACTCACCGACGATCCTGTGCATGAAGAAGTTGATGTAGTTGGCGGCGACCCCGCAGACGTGGGCCCCGAGGCTGTGCCCGACGCAGGTCGTCCGCCGGACGGGGACGCCGGAGTTGCGGAGGAAGCCCAGGAGCTGGGCCACGCACCGCGCCGCGGGCTTGATGTTGTGCACGGCCGCCGCGTAGCACGGGATCGCCGCCAGCGGGCCCCAGTCCACCACGAACGTGTTGTAGCGCCGCGTCGTCAGGTAGGCTGCAACAAATCGTCAGGTGCTCTAATCACAGAATATATAGGCCCTATTATCAGCTCCTAGTATTCCCCATTATCTTGAAAACGATGAGTTATAGCGAAAAACGCTGGTGACATTTTCGGAATATTTTTCAACGTTGAATCTTGTGGTGCCGTCAAAAATCAATTTTTGTCGCTAGAAACATTAATTTTGGCCACTTTTAGATTCGGTGCCCCCTCTAAACCCCCCTCAAAATTAGCTTAACCTTTTTTTAAGGTCAAAAATGAAAAGAACGCTAAAAATTACTTCTAGGCACCAATTTTCATTGATATTGGTTGATAAACATTGCCGCAGTGTTTAAAAGACAATTTCTTTCCTCAAATTTTGGGGAGTTGTGGCGCCCAGGGAAAGCGTATTTGGAAAAAATTTATACCAGAAAAACGTCTTTTTTTTGCCCCAAAGATCGATTCCTTCAATATTCGTATTTAATCCTGGGACACCCTGTATACCAGAGACGAGAGGCCCTCCACTTCCACTGGCCTCTTCGCGACAGGTGGAAGCTTTTACTTTCGGGGATTCAAGAATCCCCTATGAACAATGGGCCTGTTGCAAACTTTTGCTAGAGCAAAAATAAGAGTTTTTACTCATGGAAAGTGTTTCAAAAATCACGATGAGCTCATCGGCAAAGTCTGAAATGCACTCCTCACTTCACAATTTACGTAAGAAATTTGTCTTTTGTCGAGCTTCCCGATTCAAAAACGATACCACGGCACGGGTGTACATTTCGCTAGAGGAGTCATTCCAGCCAACCCCTGCTCAAAAGGATACCACGCAATATTCAGTACAGCCGACGCCAACCCTCCAAAACGCATGTGACGGGACGATGATTCTAACCACCTGATAACAATCGGCGTGTTTACATTCACATTTTTCTTACGTTGAGAGATATCCGTCTTGATTGACCTCGTGCTCTCCTCAACTCTGCCGTGATAGCGAAGAGAGCCGTAAGTGCAAAAATGAAGTTTTGAGAAAACGGGCTCAAAAGCTTCTGACAAGAACATTTATTGAGAGAAGCCTCCGTTCTTTGTCAAATTGCCACTAATCGTCCGGAAGACCCCTAAAAATCGTATGGATGATTAAAAATCGACTAGATTTTATTTCCATTACATAAAAAGGGTATTTTTCATTTTCATGCTAGGTTATTGTTAGGCAAGACAGCCGTAAGTGCTATCTTCTGAATGCTTTCGTGGTTGCGTTTCGGACGCACAACAAACACATTTTCAGGTTAGAAATTGGCAGAAGAGGGCGGTATTTTACTGGAAAGCACTTTTTTCATTGGCTCTCATGCATCTACGGCGTCTTGAAAAATAACTGTGTCATTTTTTGTGCACTTACGGCTTTTACATAAGTCTCGTTTTCATTAAATTAGGATGAATTTTGCTGTTTTAGCTGTCTCGGTAATTTCATCCAAAAGAATTTAGACGAATTTTGAAGAAAACTCGATTTCGAAAATTTTGCACTTACGGCTCTCTTCGCTATCACGGCAGAACCTGCGCGCGGAAGCGTCGGCCACGTTCAGCAAGGATTGAGTGGAACGACTCCTCCAACGAAATTTTCACCTGTGCCGTGGTATCCTTCATGAAGCGGGAAGCTTTTTCGGGCCCTAAGAGCTACATAAATCGAGTTGTCCACTCTCTTTATAAAGTTCCTGCCATAGGTTGATAGATTAATGGACCACTAGACAAGGTACGAATTTAAGCAATCTGATACATGTTTATGAACCAGAATTTCACGTAAAACACGATTCCCACAACGAAAATTACTTAAACCAACTCCTAACGAAGATCTTAACGTTTTTATTTCACATTGGTTACGAGGAATTTGAACTGCCCGCTCACAAGAAACTCAAAGCTCTACGCGAATCAGATCGCGCACTACAACGGTGTCAACAAGCTTCTCAGTCGAGCAATGCTCATGTCCCACCATGTGTTGCTCAAACTATAAGCAATTTGCTATCGCGAGCCAAAGAGTCAAGATTGAGGTTGCCAGATTTGTACATCGTAGAGACAGTCATGATAACGTTTAGCACGCGATGTGAATCACGTAGAGCATTGAGTTTTCATGAGCGGGTGGTTTGAAATCACGCATCAAGAATCATTAAATATCTTCATAAGCAGTTAATTTCGGTAATTTTCGTTGTGTGTATCGTGTTTTACGTGAAATTTTGGATAAGAAACATGTATCAAAATTCTGAAATTCGTACTTTGTCGAGTGGTTCATTTCATATCGGTGAGTTTCCTTACCATCCCGTAAAACTCCAATGGGCAAATGATCCTGGATGCCTCCGTATCCATGGATTAGCACGACCGTATCCTTGCCCGGGTCCCATCCACTGGAGTGAAGCCACATCGGTGAACTCAAGTCCACCCGATCCTCCCTCGGGGTGCCATTATCCCTAAAATATGGAACATAACGTTGGTAAAATCCATGTAAATAAGCCCCTTAAAAATATGGCCCAAGTAGGCAATTCTACGCAAAGTGTCCACTTTCAGTCATGAACGTTTTATTTGTAAAACAAGTGATAACAAATCCCATAGTTCACCCATTATATTGGCTAATAAGTGTATGAAACGAATTCTGACGGTTAAAAATTGAAATAGCCTCCAAACACGCTGGGCTTGTCGATTTCCTTTGACATTTTTGCAGTGGTGAATGCATAGCTGAAGTGCGCTCCAGCGTGATACCTCACGCATTCCGGATAGTTCAAATAGTTGTATCATTGCGCCGTAAGAATGTGACGGAAGATTACAATTCAAAAAGCCTCCATAAACGCTGGGCTTGTCCATTTTCTTTGACATTTTAGTAGTCGTGAATGCATAGCTAAAATGCGCTCCACCCAGAAGTGTATTCAGCAAATGAGTAGTTTTTATAGGAGGATTGAAAACAAACAAATGGTAGGAAATAAAACATAATAATAAGAACTTTGCAAAACGATAATCCGGGTATCGGAACTTGGCTGTTTTGAAAACGCCTTCAAATGCGGCGTGATACCGCACGCATTCCGGTGAGCTCAAATAGTTGTATCATTGCGCCGTAAGAATGTGACGGAAGATCACACTTGAAATAGTCTCCATGCACGCTGGGCTTGTCGATTTTCTTTGACATTTTTGCAGTGGTGAATTTATAGCTGAAGTGCACTGCAGCTAGAATTGTATTCAGCAAATGAGTAGTTTTATAGGAGGATTGAACACAAACAAATGAAAGGAAATAAAACATAATAATAAGAACTTTGCAAAACGATAATCGGGGTATCGGAACTTGGCTGTCATAAAAAGGCCCTTCAAATTCGGCGTGATAACTCACGCATTCCGGAGAGTTCAAATAGTTGTATCATTGCGCCTTAGAAATGCGCCGGCAGATTGCAATTGAAATAGCCTTCATACACGCTGGGCTTTCGATTTCTTTTGACATTTTAGGAGTCGTGAATGCATAGCTAAAATGCGCTCCAGCCAGAAGTGTATGTAGCAAATGGGTGGTTTTTATACGAGGATTAAAAATAAAAAAAAAGGTACGGAATATAACAAAAGTATATGAACTATTCAAAACGATAATCCGGGTATCGGAACTTGGCTGTTTTGAAAACGCCTTCATATGCGGCGTGATAACGCACGCATTCCGGAGAGTTCGAATAGTTGTATCATTGCGCCGTAAGAATGACACGGAAGATTACAATTGGAAAAGCCTCCAGAAACGCTGGGCTTCTCGATTTTCTTTGACATTTTTGCAGTCATGAATGCACAGCTAAAATGCGCTCCAGCCAGAAGTGTATTCAGCAAATGAGTAGTTTTTATAGGAGGATTGAACACAAACAAATGGTAGGAAATAAAACATAATAATAAGAACTTTGCAAAACGATAATCCGGGTATCGGAACTTGGCTGTCTTGAAAACGCCTTCAAATTCAGCGTGATACCTCACGCATTCCGGAGAGTTCAAATAGTTGTATCATTGCGCCTTAGAAATGCGACGGCAGATTACAATTGAAATAGCCTTCATACACGCTAGTCTTGTCGATTTCCTTTGATATTTTTTAGTCCAGGCGCCTGGTAGCTAAAAATGAGGCTACCTGGAATTTTGGGTACACAGCGATTTTTTTGCCTTCCAATATGTTTTTTGGGTTGCTGAATCCGAATCTGATGTTTCTGATAAAGTCTCGACGTCCCGACGGTCATAAGTGTTTTTGCTCGCCAAAACGGCCGGTAGGGACAGTCATAATTGCTACAGCAGGTTCCATTTCCGTAGTGAAGTGTTCGCATTAAAATATGATCGTACAGCAGTCTCTGCTGGAATTTAGAAGATTCTGGAAGGATTTATAAGCCGCAAATTTACTGCATTGAATCTATTTGTGCGTTACGATCGTCACGCTCTGTAATTTCTAATCGTACAATATTCTGAAAAATATTTGTGCTCATATTATAGCCCTTGCCACTAATTGCACTTATACCGACTTTTAAGATTGTACTTTATTGCTGCTGAGTATACCCACCGTTTTAGTTTCAGTTTGTCTCGGACATCAGAGTTACGACCGTCATACCGCTGTATGATATTCTTCGTGTAAAAAGAAGAGAGGAACATGCCTGATAAATAAAGTTTCTCATATTAAATGATTAAGCCGCATATTGTACTCGACTAAGAAAGTCAACCTTCGGTCCAAAATAATCAACTTGAATTCCAAGTTTTCTGGATTTCAAATTGGACAGTTTTTGTAGAATTTCCCATATTGACGGCATAAGTTCGCAATCATATGTCTCGTTTGCGGCGTCTGAAAATCTCCGCCTCTATGTTTCTTCCTTTTTTTTCTTTTTTTTTTTTTGAAGGAGAACAAATTTAAATCATTCCTTGAAGTTTTTGCAGAATTTTCTTCGCACAGAGAAGAATAATCACGGCAGTTTTAAATAATTACGGTTTTGTAGTTTTCGGTTTAAAAAATAAAAAATGACAGGAAGTCTGCAACATCGCAAACCGAGTCACAAGATACCATACCTACACTGTCGATGTGCATTTCACGCCGACCAGCGACTGCAGTGTGTTTGGCGCAATGCATGAAGTATTCCTGCAGTCTTGTAGGCGCTCGTATGAATTTCGCGGCGACCAGCGACTGCACTGTGTTTTGCGCAATGCGTAAAGTATCTCCGAAGTCTTGTAGGCGCTAATATGCGTCCCGCGCCAACGGGCAGTCGCACTCTGCATTAGATTACAAAGTAACCGTAGAATCAGAGGAGAGATATTAAGTTTGAAGAATGACTGGGTAAAATTGATGAATTAATGATTCATGCTAAGTGCAGACAAAAATATTAAACAGAAAGAACGAAGGCTTAATGGAATTTAATAGTGGCTTCTTTACGGTTTACCTTACGGTATACAAGGAGAAGTTGATTTCGGGGTCAGGACAAGCGTCCTCCACATCCCTCCTCCAAGAACAATTGTCTCTGCTTGCATTCATTGTGCCCTGGCCTAGAGTCAAGGCTCCGATGACTGCTTGTGCGTTTATACCTGAAAATAGGAAAGTTTAGCTGTTAGAACTTAATTATAAAGCATTTCATCATTTCATGAGAGTTTGGGGTGGGGGGTGGGTCAGGGTATAGTAAAAATGACTTCGTTTCCCGCAGGACATTTGGTATCCCTAGAGGGCCGTTCAAATATTACGTAAGGAACTTAGGGGGAGGGGGTCCGACCTTGTCTTACGGAGCCTTACGAAGGGGGGGAGGGGGGTTAAGCCGAGTTATACGTAAGATTTCCTCTATAAAAAAAGACTGTTTGTTTAAGAAATAAAAAAACTTTATCCGCGTTGAGAGATGTGAAACCCTGCCATTTCGAAACAAGACTTGTTAATGCCGCAAAATATTGCCACCGTCCCGCCGTACTGGCGCCACGCTACCGATAGCGCACGCATTTCGAGTATTTGGTTTTTTTGCCGATTTTCATCAAAATACCTTTATGAAAGTCTTAAATTTATTCCAGCTATTTTACCAGGCTTTCTCCGTTTTTTCCTGAAAAAATGGTGGGGGGAGGGGGTCCCGGCCAATCTTGATCAAAAGAAGAGGTCAGAGATTTCTTACGGGTGCCTTACAGGCGGAGGGGGAGGGTCAAAACGTTGACAAAAATGGATTACGTAATGCTTGGACTCGCCTATGGAAAGTAAGGAGCCCAGAAAAAATAACAGTATCTTATACGATGATACTACCCACTGCCACCTTTTCATCTAAATTTCGGATTTGAATTTCGGATCGAAAAATCGATGAAAACACAACGGGCAACGCATTTCTGGGATGTCGTTTCGATTTTCGAACACAATACGTATCTCATACTGGTATTTTGGCTACTGAGGTAGTAACAAAGTCATTAGTAACAGTAGTCACTGGGAAGAATCGGATGGATAATAGCGACTACGATGAGCAGAGCTTGCATAATGTCACAGTGTGAGACTATAGCAGATTTCAATGTCGTTGAAATGACTTAAGCGGCCCTCGCCTAAGATTTGGTGGAAGTTGGAGGGTAGGGTGAAGTTCGCTCACTAAGCTGGTATACCTCCTTTCGGTAGACTCTGGATTATTTAATACGGCGCACAGTGGATCGAGCCGAAAGGAAAGGTCGGACAAAATCTGAAAACTTTAAAGGCTTATAACTCCGTTTATAAAAAATTTTGAGGCGCTAAAAGTGGTTCCACTGCTTTCTTCGTAAACTTTTCTTCTAGAGACACCCCATAAAATTTAAAATGTGACGAAATAAACATCAAAATTTGCTGTTTTAGTCCAAAAATTCATGTCCGACCGCTTTCATTGACTGAATCCACTGTGCGGTGGCGTGGGAATCATAATCAGAAGCGCTCTAAATGAAACAAACAAAGAGCTGCTGAAAAACACCTCTACTGAAAATTGTAGAAAAGTAGGGTTTTTAGATGATTATCCTAATTTTAATCAGCATGAGGATGTTGTAGTGCAGAAATGATATGCTGAAGTCTAAAGTCAAATCTACCTGAAGCATCCAACTTTTCTCTCCGTGTCTCCCGAAACTACCTCCCAGGCCTGCGTTGGTTGCGCGTTGCGTTTTTGTCGATTTTTCGACAAAAATACGGAGTTTTTATTGAAAAAAGGCAGTTCTTAAGGTGATCGTAAGACTAGAATGCCTGTATTTATGGGGGAGAGTATTGACATCTCCGAGCTACTCCTTGGTTGGCTCATCAGCTTGAGGCTATCATAGAGCCCCAAAATCGCCTCAATGGAGATGTTGCATGTGTGAGGAATTTGCGGTTTGACTATTGATTCTCATGTGTAAGTTCGCGAAAAACACGATTGTGCCACTATTTTTCTCTGGAATCAACTCCCAAGCTCAAAAAAAGCTCTCAAGTTGAGGCCAAAAAGGAGGATTTTTATTAATTGTGTATCTCAGCCTTGTTTCCCGTTTTTCCCCCTTGTTTCTCCACTGTTATCATTGTCTCGGGCTGCTCTTAAAAATGCGTATCTATGATAACCCAAAACTGATGAACCAATCAGAGATTGGTACAGAGATGGCAATGGAGATGTTGCATGTGTGAGGAATTTGCGATTTGACTGTTGTTTCTCATGTAAAAGTTCGCGAGAAACACGATGGTACCACTGGTTTTCCCTGAAATCAACTCCCAAGCTAAAAAAAAGCTCTCAAGTTGATGCCAAAATGGAGAGGATATCCCACGCTATCCTGAGAGTCCACCTCTACATCAAGGCAAACTCTCCATGCAAAGATAGGGAGCAAATACATTGACAGGGCTGCCACTTTATTTGAGGACTCCACAACTGAAAACACGGCAACCCTACTAATGCATTTGTTCCCTATCTTTGCAAGGAGAGTTTCTCTTGATGTAGAGGTGGACTCTCAGGATTTTTGAGCTTGGGAGTTAATTTCAGAGAAAACCAGTGGCACCATCGTGCTTCTCGCGAACTTTTACAAAAGAAACAACAGTCAAATCGCAAATTCCTCACACATGCAACATCTCCATACTCTCCCGTATGTAGGCACTCTAATCGGGAGCCGAGAACTGCGATTCTTTCTAATGAGTCTACTCGGTCAGGAGCTCATCTCATTGGAGGCGATGCAGATGAGCAGCGTCGGTTGAATAACTAATCACCCTGGTCCCCGATTATGCTGGCACCGGGCCCCCGTCGCGTCGTGTCGCCCAGACGGGGGCCGTCGCGACGCACGACGCGCGACGCGCGACGCTTCGTTCACGGTCTTATTTTTTCGGTCAAAGCCTCACCGCTTTTCGCTGTTGCCGTAATATCCTACACATATGTATTTACCAAAGTAGCAAAATAGAATTTTTTTCTAGAAAAAAAATATCACAGAAAAAAATAATATGCTGTTTTAGCACCTAGGATGTTAAAAATGTGTCCGGTGATCCCAAGATGCTGCGCCTGAACTGCCTACAGAGTTAAATATTTTCTAGATCTACTTTATATCTATTTTCTTTCAAGAAAATTGTTCTATCTAGGAAGTAGACATTTTGACGCCCTCTTCTGCCAATTTCTAACCTGAAAATGTGTTTGTTGTGCGTCCAAAACGCAACCACGAAAGCATGCAGAAGATAGCACTTACGGCTGTCTTGCCCAACAATAACCTAGCATGAAAATGACTATACTCTTTTTATGTAATGGAAATAAAATCAGTCGATTTTGAATTACCCATACGATTTCTAGGAGTCTTCCGGACGATTACCTAGTGGCAATTTGACAAAGAACGGAGGCTCCTTTCAATAAATTGATCTTGTCAGAAGCTTCTGAGCCCGTTCTCTCAAAACTTCATTTTTGCACCCACGGCTCTCTTCGCTATCACGGCAGATCTCTTTCACTCGTCTATACCTAGCAAAGATATATAAAAACCGAGCGCTAGAAGGAAAAAATGATGCAAATTCATGCAAACTTTCCGATTGGCTAGAGGATTGGCGGCGATATCGGGACGAGTTTGAAATTCAAATATAGGGCAGGAACTGAATAAAATAATTGCGTAAATAAAGTATTCTAGGTTGCTTTGCTCAAATTCACTTACCCCCGTATATTTTTTTTAACTCAAGGGTATTTTTGGTCCGCCATTGACTTATTGATCTCATTTGGAAGTAACGGTCATCTAGGACTGTAACAACCTCTTTGAACTGGCAGGACCACCATAAGCTGATGAAAATCTAACTTTATCTGAGATCCTTGCTTGTTACTGAACCAAAATAGGTGTATTATACCGAGTCACCGCCCCAACTTTATTTATTTGTTCGTACCAGTGACTAAAACGAGTTTAGAGCAAAAAATGTGCAAAAATCAATTGTACAAGTTCAAATCAAATTTCCCTTTGCCGCCATGGATTCCCGCACTTATTTACACACTCACACAAACGCAGAGCACTAGAGCTGCATCAATCCTCCCCCCCCCCCGTGTTAGTAGATACGAGTGATCCGTTTAAATGTCCTTGATACATACTGCCGTGCTAAGGAAGAACGCCGTATGAACATTCGAGAGTTGCCAAATTTCCTTCGATAAAATGTTTATTTTTGAGGAAAATGTTGAATATCTTTTCTTGAAATTTTCAGAAGTTTTAGATCAAATTACAAACAAAATTATTTGAGAAATTGATTGACAAATATTCAAAAATCTTCCTGAAAATTCGTGATTTTTTAAAAGAAATTTTGCAACGCCTGAAGGCACATACGGCGTTTTTCCTCAGCACGGCAGCTTAGTTCTGTTCGGCAAAAATACGTCCAACTGACCCATCTGTCAACACAAACGGACGGCGTGCGGATACGGTAAGGCACGGGGAGCATTTTAGAAGGCACGTCACGTTTGCCCCGACCGAAGGAATTTACTAGACCCAAATGCGATCTAGACCCACAGTCCCCATTTTTATTTAACTGTTCTTTCCTTCGTTTGGTCGCTGTATCTCTTTTTTTTCTCCACCATGATTTTGGCCGCCTTTCCTTAAGGTGATTCGATGGACGCCATATTTTGTGTCAGAACGGCATGCGATATATCGCATCAATTGGCTCAATTTTTTCAGCTACTCGTCATTTTTCTCGAATTTTGAGATCGCAATTCTGTTGTCAGGAGATTAAAGCACTCCACTTACCAATTTTAACAAAGAAATTCAACGTATTAAAGGCGTGGTTTTTTCAGAGAGAAAATATCGCATTCGAGTGCAGTTTCGATATCAGTATCGAATGCGATGTTTCCTCTGTGAAAAAACC